TTTTCACCTGTTAACTGGGTTCACCTCTACAATGGAAAATAAATCTTCCCACTTTGTAATGATAAATGAGATGATACTGTAACCGATGACTGTATTTTTGCCTCGTATCCAAGCGTGAAACTAAATCTAGAGATAGCACGTTCGCATACTCTGTGATAATGTATTTTTTAACATCGGCAGCAATTAAATTCAGTCTTCCGTAGCCTTTCGAATCGCACACACCCGTGGATTCGCTACAATTGCCTATAGTGTCTTCTGCTAAATAAAAAAAAAATTAAAATTGCCTCCTGGCTGTAAAGATAGTGGACAGAATTCAGATGATCCTCCTTTTTATAATTTTGCCTTAGTAGGAGTTGTGCCTATTGTACCAATTTATCCGTCTATTATCTACCACGATGTTTCAAATTGATATTGGTTAATTACCCAAGTAATTATAGAGAAGAAATTTTCAAAAAATCTCTAATGTACCGACAAATGAGAAGAAATCGAGCGAGTACGAAGGAATAAACAGCAGTGAAAGGGACAATCCGTGAACTCTTATTATCTCGTCCCCCGATTGCAAATCTAAACATGTCGTATTTGACATTTAACATTGTCGAGGGGTTATATTAAATAAATAACTCGTGTGGAGTATATTTTAGAAGATGTTCAGACAGATATAGACAAGACAGTGTGCACTTTTATACCTGGGATGTTCGCAGGCATCCCCAAACCATATTTATCGGACGTGTCATAAACCTACCAATATTCTAGGATGTCGATTTTTCCATGCAGTACTCGTAAACCATTTTGCTTCAACAAACATAGGCAAAACATTACAATTAAGACCGAACAATCTCTCGATAAATAAACAATTCAACTTGAAATATTCGCCAACGAATATCCCCACTTACCAGCTGAAGAACAGTACAAAGTAACCTCTGATTACACCGGTCGAGCTAAAGAAAAATTACCTTGACCCTATAATTATTCACACCCCACGGTACGTGACTCCGGCAAGCGGATAACCGTGGAGGGAAGTCACGCATACGTGACACGCCGCCCGTCAAAATGTTAATGATAGCACCGCGGCGCAAAAGGTGAACGCGCGCGTTCACGCAGTCTTGAGGACGTCTCTCCGTGAAGATGTGCACGTGCTCTCGCGCGGCAAACGAGCTCTTTGCGTTTTAGTAGGAAATTATGCACGCTGTTCCGCGTCCGTTTACGAGCCACGGCAGGAAGTTCCGCGAGAGAAAGGGGGCCCCGAGAAAGAGCCTGAAACTGTTTCCCCAAGCTGGCCGACGCGAGCACCAAGCGGCGAAGGAGGAGGAGAGAGGAGGAGAGAGGAACCACAGCCAACAGAGAGAATATCAGAGTTTCACGAGTCAGACAGAAGCGTGGTCGTTGGCTCTCTCTGGTGTTCTTTGTTACACTTGGCGGTGGAGGAGAAGCCAGTGTTGGATGCGGTCCACGAGAGAAAATTCACGACCCCTTCTTGCGTTCAAGCTCCGCCACCCTCGACAACACGGTAATGGCTCCTAGGGCGGATCCTTTCTGGCCGTACGCGACGGCTTTTCCTTAATTTGGTGAACCATAAAACACACGACCTCGTCACCCTTCACGCGGATACGTTTTATCGGCGCGCATAGCGCGAGCCCTCCAGGAATTACTTTATTTATACAAGTAGCGAGAGAGAGAGAGAGAGAGAGGGATAGAGCTGCCCCGGAAGCTTTATGGCGTCGAGTTTTTCCGTCTGCCCGTTGGAGGACTGTATCCACTTGAGGTTACGCCGGATTTCTTGTCTCTTCGTGGTACCAAACGCCCCACGCCGCCACCGACTGTTTAATGCTACCGGCGTAAACGTTAATTCGTTCTTTGATTGCCGCGCACGTTTTCTGCCGTGGAATTTTGACTTCGTTCGTTTAGTTAGCGGACTGGTAAATTGTTACGGTTCTCCTACAGTTTTCGAGCGTTTTAAATGTTTCTGGGTTTTTGTGGGTGGTTGTGTTATCATTTGGACCTTTGTTAAGTATTGGAGAGCAATTTTAGTCTTTTATCAAATTCAGTCGATTATTAATTTTAGTCTTTTATCAGTTTTTGCCGAGGGTGAATCAGTTGAAATGTTCCGCATATTTCTTGAGAACAATTGTGGGTTACTGAAAGACCTCCATCCATGCAGCAATCTTTATTCTTTGCTTCAAAGATAATATCGTTACCACTTGCAAAAAAAAAAAAAAAAAAAAAAAAAAAAAAATAAAAGTAGAGCTGTTGTGTAAATGTTCTGTGTATTCCGATAAATTGATTTTTTTATTGGGAGTATTAATTCTTTAAGAGCAGTGTAATTACTTAATAACGTAGTAAGAGTAACAGTTTAATTACCTTTCTGTACAATGTACATACATATGTTAGGAGCAATTTGAAAATACTAATTTGGTTGTTCCTGTTAGCACTTATTCTCCTTTATTTCTACTTGGATCGAACGAGAACGAGCCAGAATGGATGTAGCCACTAGTACTAATTTGGTAGCCAGGAAGTAGTTAGAACAAGATTGCTGTTGGCAAATAAAAGAGTAAAAATGATGTAAGAGTCTGCAACACCTAATAGTAAAGCCGTACAAAAAACAGATCTGGTAGAAACTTGGCAAAACAGGAATTGATGGTAGGAGCTTCCTTGTGCGAGCGTAAAATGTGTTACTGTTAGGTTCGTAGAAAATCAGCTGAATGTTGAATGTTGCAATTGACCTGCACGAAGAAACAGCAATTACTCTGTTTTACATAAGTAATTGAGAATTAATAACGCTGCAAGAGAATAATTGACTGCATTTCAATTTTGCAATTTTTTTTACTATAATGAAGCATATTCTATAGTCAATGTTTATCAAGGTGCTTAAATAAACGTAAGCAGAAGAATGTTTTGCGATTACTTATAATTAGTATAAATTCTTCAGTTTTTAGTATTATTAATATTGGGCAAATCTCAATATCAAATTCTTCAGTTTTCAATATTGTTGATATTGGGCAAATTCTTCAATTTTCAGTATTATTAATATTGGGCAAATATTTAATACCAAATTCTTCAGTTTTCAATATTATTAATATTGGGCAGAAACCACATACCAAAATCTTCAATTTTTAATATTACTAATATTGGGCAAATATCTAATACCAAATTCTTCAGTTTTCAATATTCTTAATATTGGGCAAAAACCGAAACCTAAAATCTTCAATTTTCAATATTAACTAATTTTTCCAATCCTCAACCCTTTCTCTAGAGCGTAGATCAGTGTGAAAATCAACTGCTTCACGACATTCAAATATCCCTAACTTTCAATCAACAGCGATATCTTACATCCAAAGCACGAAAGTAAAGGAACAAATTGTACGTATCACACAGGCGTATGTGTACGCTCTTCGTATCTGAAGAGTTAACGTTCAATTGCTTCCAAAAGCAAAAAAAGTAAATCAATTTTCCACACAATTCACTTGCCGCGAAACAACCCAGAACAACCTCTTCACAGCTGTGATCGCAATTAATAAAAAGTTCAACGCCTCCGACAGTTGATGCGATACACGAAAGAAAGTCGACGACGACGACGTGGCTTACGTGCTCGTGAAACATAAACGACCGCGTGTATCGCCGTTACGTAGGATGGGTAACAATAGCCGCAGAAAGATATCGTTATGATATTTCCTACGAGACAAAGTGTACCCACGAAAAGTATAAAGAAAAGTCGGGAAAGAGAAAGGAAAGAGTAGTAGGTAGAAGGAGGGAAAGTCGGCGATTGGGGGGAAATCGAGCGAGGGCAAACTATGAAGTCGGCTTCTCGGAGGACAAAGCTTTCTCGTTCAGGATCTCCTTCGACCTGCTCCTCTTCTTCTTCTTCGCCCTTCTTTTCTTTCATTCACCGTCCCTTCTCGGAAATCCTCAAGGAGAGAGAGTCGTCTAGCTCCTCTTTCGTCCTGCCAAGCTTTTTTCCCTTTATCTCGTCCCCGGCGCGGAAAAAGATTCTACCGGCATACCGCTGACTCCGTTCGAGTTAGTTCCGCAATAATCATGAAAAACATTGTGAAGGTTCAATTTCCCGGGAAATACGATGTCTTCTGCGGCAGCCAGCGATGTTTGAAGTGCCCCGAGGAGAAGAGAAAAAAAAAGAGAGGTGTTCTCTCTCTCTCTCTCGAGGAACGCTGTTTCAGCTTGATAATTAATTTTGGAGGCCGTTCTCGAGTTATATATGTATATATATGCATGTTGGTTTGATTAAGAGGAGAGTTAATCTGCGTCAGAAGTGACGATGGAATTATTTCTTCTTCTTCTGTTTTACTCTCTCTCTCTCTTCTTTTTCTTTCAGTGTGTTATTCTTTTTAAGATGTTGGAGTGATGTTGTCGGATTAAGCTGAGAAGGATACCAGGCTAAATATGATATCTGTGTAAATAAGTTGTTCAGCTTGAGGAGGATGAGTGGGATGGGAAGCTGCTTGTTCGACACGTTCTTGATTAAATATCTTCGTGTCGCTGTTCACTGCGTTTAATATGGATTCCTCACGGCAGCTTCCTCTTCTGGGAGTTGTTTGGCTACACCGTGTGCTACAACGATCAATTTTCTTCCCTTTCTTCTCTCTTACTCCGTGTAACCACTTTTTGTTAAATGAAAAATCAAATTCTACGTGTTTCCGTATACACTCGGGCGTTTATATATTAGTATTCTCAAAAATAAATCACACGAAAACGTATTTTTCTTTTAATATACACTTTTTTACCAAAATTTAACATAAAATTTTCCGTCGTTTATACTAATATTCTTAAGAGTAAACGAAATATTTTTCTCTTAACATACACTTTTTTGCCTAGAATTAAATCTGAACGAAATCTCGAATCACCCTGTTTCGATCAAAAACCTAAAAAAAAAGAATTAATTCCCACTGAAATATCGTCGTCAGATGAAAGCACTGCTCGTTTCCACAGACATAAGCTTGAAACCGAGATTCGTATTAGATCTAACAGCACCGTTTCGTCTGTTGCAGGTCTTAATCCGGCCGAGGAGAGGCATGTGAGTACCAAACAATTTAGCTAACACAGAATCGGGGCGGGGTGGGTGTTGCAGTCGCGGTTTCGCCAATGGGCAATCGATAACAGTCTATTAACAACGAATACGGTTGTACCTCATTGGGCGCGTTCGTGCGTAAATAGCAATATCGTTCCGCGCGACGACAGGATTTCACGTGGATCCGGCCGCGAACACGGCGGAATTTCCACGCGGAGGCGAAACGCGATAATCGCATCGGGAAGGCGATCAAACTCCGCCTCGCGCGCGGCAGATTTCGCTTTCCGTGGAAGGCAACGCGCCGCGTAAATAGCAAGCAAGCAACACTAGCGCGCCCGATAACGTTTAATCCCGACTATCGTCCTACTACTTCGATTTCCGCTTCGTCTGTTCCGCTTAAGCGCCGCGCGCGACTGTATCCCCCCACCCGACGATGCACCAAATCGCGTTTGCCGCGTTTCGATAAACGATAGTCTGATCCTTTAAGTGGATTGAATTTCAAACGAATCGTTTTTTTTTTTTTTATTTCGTTTGCAAAGCTGCGAAGATTTACAGTAAGAATTTGAATTTTTGTACTGTAGAGAATTATTTGTGCAATGGGGTTTTTGTTCTCTTCAGTTTCCTTCTTAAATCGAGATTCTTTGGATTAAGAATATTGGAATATTTTAGTTCCTTCCTACGTCGATATTTGGGAAATTCTTCAATACGTACTTTGTGAACCACGTGATTCTGAAGTTTTTTAAATTTCGTTACTATTTTCTGAAAATGTTTTTTAAAAATTGTGGTTAGTATTGTATATTTTTATCGAAGCAGTTGAACGAAGCTTCTAAAATCGTGGCGAAATGTGAATTTAAAGAAACATTTATAAAATGCTTTATTCTGTTCACGTATATTTACTTTGTACTATTTATTATTATGTAATAGTTATTGGTACATCTTTATTATGCATTCAAATTTATGATACACGTACAACATTGAAAATTATAAGTGAAACTTACAACTACGCTGATCTCAAATTGAATTTTTGAAAATGTTTTTTAATTAAAATTTAATAAAATTGCGGTTAATATTCGGATCTTAATTTAGTTAGTACGATTTTTATTGAAGTAATTGAACGAAGCTTCTGAAATCGTCACAAAATATGAATTTAAAAAAAACATTCATAAAATGCTTTATTTTGTTACTATTATATAATAGTTAATAGTAAATCTTTATTCTGCGTTCAAATGTACAAGTTGCATTTACCACTGAAAATTATAATGGGGAAATTAAACGCTGTTCTTATCACTGAAAGCTAAAAATTGAGTCGAAAGAATCTTTAAAAAAGAAAAAGCCAAAAATAACTACCTGAACCATAACTTTTTCACTAAACGGTCACATGTTCGCCATCAGCCTACACAACAGCTAATCCAGTACGAATTTACCTAACTCCAGAATACTCGACACTAACACGCACCAATCCAAACAAACTCGTTCCATTAACCAAACAGTCACACACACATACACACACTCCCCTTCCCTCGAAGTTCGTTAAAACAAACGAATCTATGAATTTATTTTCACACGAGAATCCGAGACCAAGGGAACCGGGAAATTAAACAGATTCGCAATTACAATCTGCGAATGGACGTTGGTGGGCGATCGAATTTCGAGGGGGCGAAACGGTATCGCGTCGATTTCCCCTCGTTTCCTCGGAGCTGGGAAACGGATACGGTGCTCGTAAAATCCGACCCGATTTCCGGGTTTTATGGGTCGCGTGGCCTGTTCCGAAAAAGTCTCGCACCTCTGCCCCGTACTCTGTGTGTATACAGGGTGATTCAACCGAACAGACAAATTTTTTCTCTCCGATAAATACCTGATATTTCGAGTAAACAACCATTGAAACTGAAAACTTAGACCACCTGTACGATTAAATTGTGTTATCTTCAGTATCAAAAAAATATTGTCAACATCCCAAAGAAGCTTGAAAATTTAAGATTTTTATCTGTGAAGCTTTATTACTTCAATATATTTATTAAACAAGAAATATTAGATTTTTCCCGCTATTTCTTATTCGTTCCATTGACCCGTATTTGTGAGCCACCCTGTACGCACGTAAACCGTATACAGCAAGGATTGACCGATGGAATCGGGGGCGACGAGCGGAAGTAGCGCGTTCCACCGGGCGAAGAACGACTCGAACCGCGTCGAATTTCATCTCGTAAAAGAAATTAGAGCGGCTCTGCTCTCTCTCTCTCTCTCTCTCTCTCCCTCGCTCGTTTATATATGTACGTGTATTGCTCTTGGGCAGCTGAAAGGGAATATCAGGGGGGAGCAAATAAAATCAGCTGGCTACGAAACGACAGGAGAAACTGGACGAAATAGAAAGAGCGAGAAGGGAAAAGGGGGATGAAGAGAGGCGTGCAGAGTGGATGAAAGGGGGAGAGAGAGAGAGAGAGAGAGTGTAAGAAGAAAGAGGAAGGCTGTGTGGATCAGCCCAGTGGAAGAGGAGGAAACCTGAAATGGACGTAAAAGCCCGAACACCGGAACACAGGGCCGTAAAAAGCTCGTCGTCAAATGCACCCCCGTTCTTCTCTGCCGTTATCCTCTCTGCCTCCCTTTTCTCCATCTCTCCCTCTCTCTCTTTCTCTTCTGCTAGCGCCCTTTACCCCACCTTTGATAGCATAAAGCGGCTGCTGGGCGCGGCGCGCGCGTTTATTAAAAGCGCTCCGGGCTCCAGGCAAAAAAGAGGCTCCACAGAGAGAGAGAGAGAGAGAGAGAGAATGAGGGAGAGAGGAGAGAACGCTTGGGGACCTCAGCGCGTTCCCGCGTTCCGCTTCCGATCCCTCGAGTGACCTGCCAGGATCGTTCCGCGATCGATGACAGACAAGAAGTCCTCTCTCTCTCTCTCTCTGTATGCTGGGATAAATCGATATTCAAGAACTATAAAGCTCTCGTCGTGGCTGTGTCTAGATCGACGGAACCGCTTCGTGAAAATAGAGCAGAGGGATGTAAAATGAAGATTTCTACGGTGAATTTGTTTTATTACCGAGTTAGATCGAGAAATTATTTAGAGGAGTTGGAAACTGATTGGGTTGTGTTCGGAGAAGTTCGGAGTTTTAAGAGTGTATCCGAGAAATTGCAGATCGTTATCTGAGATATTAAACGGAGTGGAACGGGTTTGCGTTGAAACGAGCGTGTTGCTTATCGCCGGGTTCGAACGCGTATTTCACTAAACAGGATTTTCTAAGCCCGCAGACGGTGGTTATCTCGAGATCTAATCGACGGGTCGACTTGAAAGTTGAACAGGATATTCTTAGAAATCCTCGAGGAACGCAGTGTTTTTTTTTTTTTTTTTTTGTGTAGAGATCATTTCTCTGTAACAGAAGAAAAAGAAGAAGAACGTACAACAAAGTTCAATTAAACTACCACCTGTACTTTCCACGAACGATATCCTACAATTTCCATCTTGTTGCTCGTGTTTTCGCAGCTCTTTAACGAGGTCGTGATGAAAAAAAAACGATAAGCAATCTGTTAATCGATTCCGCGATAAAGATTCCGGCAATTAACTCTTATAACACTGGGAGCAGAGCAAAAACTGAGTCTATCAATTCTCTCCAATGATCCGAGGAAAACCTCGAAGGAGCGAGGGATTTTGTATTCAAGGAAGCGTGTAAAGCGGTCGCGTTATTAATCGGGGGAACGAGTAATTCGATTGCGTTCGGTAGACGCGAGGGGACCGATCGATAACGATTATTAATTAATACGTCGGACCATTTTATAAAACTCTATCTTCATCCTTCTCTCTCTCTCTCTCTCTCTCTGGGATGTAGTACGCGATTAACTGGATTGTACCGGTCGCGCGCGAGAGGCCGTCGTTCATATTATTCGGCCGGGTGAGTGATTTCCAGCGTAATTATCTTTTCGGCGTGGCTCTTTTCCGCGACCGTCATTACGGGCCGTGTTTTAACAGCGTACACACCCAGCATAACTTGCGCAATTTGCCGGCGGTACCCGTGGCTCGCGGCCGGACCGATAATTAGCGTCCGTTTAATATGCACAATTATTACGGATTGATAATCGGGGCTGCGCATCCATTACACCGGCATTGAGATAGATGGTAATAGGTTTCCATCGGTATTAGCTCTCTCTCCCTTCGTGTGTTCTGCTCTCTCTCTCTCTCTCTCCCTCTCGCTTTATATCTCTGTGTGTCTGTGTGTGTCGGGATTGTCCTCGTCGCACCGAGAGTCGCGCTCGCACGTAATCTCGCAGCGCTTTCATAATGTGTACGGGACCGGGTAGCGATGGGACTAATTCGATTATCGTTCGGAAATTTTCAATCGGCACCCGGTTAATCCGGGTAGATCGCGTCCAGAGGAAAGATTTGTGGAGAAAAACGGTCGGTTCGAAAAGGGGTGGATTATCCTTGGTTTATTTGAATTATGCACAGGGACCGTTTGTCCACCGAATTAACACCGGAGCCCGGAAATGCCTGTTCATTTTTACGAGCTTCGGGATACATTGACGTATTTACGGATTGCTAGATTTATCTTTTCTCCGAATTGCAAACTCGCAATTGAATTTCGAAAATACGAAATTACCGTAGAAATTTTTGTTTTGCTGGGAATATTACTCGTTGGAGAGAAACAAATTTCTTTCATGGAGTTAAAGAGGATTATAGATTACAGATCCTCGGAAAATCATTACGAGTGTATTTTACTTGGAAGACCAGTTAAACACTACACAACCTAAAATACAAACGAACAATTCACTCAAATCTGCCCTTCTCTAAGCTACACCACGAAATTGATTATCATAGCGAAATTAAATCAACTCGTCAGAGGAACACCGAACAAGTTTCGCGAAAATGTTCGCTACACTCGCGAGTAGTTCGTACCCATCGCTACGTCGTCTCCGTCTCTCTCGAACCCTTTCATCGTTACCGTTCACACGTCTCTGTCCCTCCCTGCACCCCCTACTTTTCCTCCGGGGCAATCCTCTTTCGCTACCTGTCTCCATCCCTCCCG